ATATATATATATATATATATATATATATATATATATATATATATATATATATATAATATATTTCGGTCAATAAACATATCTCAGTTACGTAGTCAAAGTCGGAAGTAAAAGCTAGTTAATATTCAAGTCCATAATATATTGATTAAAATTTTCTTTGTTGAAAATTAATTTATTAATAAATATTCGTAATTTAGATTTGTATAAATATTATTTTTACTTTAAAGTTTTAAGATGCAAAAAATGCAATGATAACCCCACCTGCGCTATCGGTATATGCTGACGAGATATCAATGAGATGATTGGTGAGAATGAAAGCAGATCAGTTAGTCCATCGTGACGAAGGGGAACCACGTGGAGGTCGACCTAACAGGGTATACTACTAACAATGATGCAGGCAGTCTCCGTTACTAACAATCCTTTTTCCCCTGAGGCACTCGTAGAACACTTAAAAATGTACAATAATAGGAAATACACAAACGGAATGTAGTTCACAAGTAATAACGAGGAAGTAACCGATATCATAACTTGGTCAGACGCAGCAAGGTCCCAATCGATTGCACGTGGCGTCACATGGTCTGGAACGGTCATCGTCCCGTTTAGTGATGTGTCGAGGCGAACTGACTCGAATATCTACTAAGTATTCAGGTACTCCAGTACTCAATATATACTTGTAGAATTCGGATACACAGAATTCGAATACAGTTTATAGTTTATTATTCATGGTACTCGACTACTATTCGTATATTTATCATAATTTTCTGTTTTTGTTTCGGTATTTTATCAATATTTTATTAATTTATTAAAGGAAAAATTATTATGAACATTTATTGTTTTCATAAAGATAAACTTTAGAAATCATTTGAAAAAATACTGGGGTCTGATAAAGTAGTCGAATACTTGTATAAGTACTTCTCCTTAAGTACTCGTACAAGTCTGAGTACTCAGACTCAAGTCAGGAATTATTATTTTTTTATTAAAGAGAGCCAAAAATATTGTAATACTAAAAAACCCAACTGGCATCAACACTAGTGATAATCTTTCTCTTTGATTCTTTTTTAATTAATAGTGAAATACTCGAATGCCAAAGACCAGCTCGGCACATCACTAGTCCCGTCTATTATTCAGGCCGGCCTACTTAATAGTGTACTCGTATATTCCCTAATTAATATACACGACACGTAATCGACATGGGATTTTATTCGCCTTTCATTATTAATAATTCTTTAGTATTAATATAAATAGAAGAATATTAAATTCGAGAATTAATGCTGACAGGATCAAATGGAACAGCGACAAAATATATATACGTAGAATAAAAACAAGACTATGAGAACTCAATATTAAAGTAACTATACTTTATATATTTAAAGGTAGAGGAAGACTTAAAAAGAGAAGGATGGATTGTGTGAAAGAGGATTTAAAAAAAATTAATCTATTCCACCTATATTTACTTCTTTATGACTTGTCCACAAGTTATCGTAATGTCCTTATATATAAGTGTTTATTTTCCTTGTTTATTATGACAATCTACATAACTAAGCATATGTTTTCAACCAACTTCAAATATGACGAAGGTTCAAATTCGACTATATTGGATCGACAGTGATAAATCCTTTTGCAATTGATAAAATTTACTCCCGATTTTATGAAACATTACATTTAATAATTTAAATTTAATTATAAGAAAATTGTTATGTATGGATGAAAATTGTTATGTGTAGAGAAAGACCCAGAAAGAGATGGATGGACTGTGTGAAAGGATGACATAGCCAGAAAAGAAGTGACTAGTGAGATGACTGCAAATGGAGAAGAATGGAAATGGAAAGAGGAAAACAATATGTCGAACCCATATGATACGAAATAAGGTCAGGATGACAATGATGGCATAATATATTTAACAGCGTAGAATGTAGGTCTCACATGCCCATACTTGACTGAACAATTCACAATTGCAAACGATGTCTTCTCCGACGTCAGAAGAAAGATATGCACAAATGAGATGCGATGTACGTTCGTTTTCCATTGTGACACGATCGTTTAGCAATTTGTATGCACGCTCACTCGCTTAATTCAGAACACAATGTGTTGACAGTTATTCCGATGGTATTACTATCGATTCATGATAGTAACTGTATGGCACATTGACAGGATACGCCCTTTGTTACGAATCTGCGGTGTTATGTTTTATTTGGCGACGAGTTGAGTTTGTTCCACAAAAAATTTGCTTCGATCCTGACCGACGCACTAGTAAACCCTATCGATTCTATATTGCGTTCTTCCTTAAGAACTAATTAAGAAATTCTCCCTTTAAGAGACTTAAAATTAGGATTCTTCTCTGCCTAAAGTTCTCTCAAGGTGCATACTAATTTCCCGCTAAGTGTTTTTGCCAGGAAGTAGCTATGCTTGCTGTTTCGCTTTGAAACATGGGATATGGAAGTAAAATTACAAAGTTCGAAGGTATAATTCTTTAATCCCTAGGATTGGCATGAAGGATACCATAGGCGTCAAAGTAAACTCAGAAATGTGCTGTTCATGTTTATAGCCGACAGTTACCATTTTCCATCAGGTGGGATTGTTTGCATTCCGAATTGAAAAAAACTAAGAGAGTATAATTCAAGTACATGTACAGTTACGAGAAATTCTATTTATCTGTGATTAAATGTTGATTTGATTTATTAACTAGTCAACCTTCGGGAAGTGTTAATGCATCGATTATACTCACATATATTGATCTTTACCATTATAATTAATCAGGACAGGAGATATACTGTGCCATTTATTACCAACACAACTGTCAATCAAGTTCAATAAAATATTTGCTTGTCGGTCAATTATATTTACTAATCTTTATCTGCGACTTCGTCTGCGTAATCGAGATAAAAGTAACCTACGTCCGTCTTCATTTCAAATAGTAAAGACTTTCTCAATAGAACGTAATAAAAATATATAAACAAATAAATAATTGACCTAATCATAAAACAGTCTGTTGATGTTCAATAGTAATATAAAAGAATAAATCGATTAAATGGTCGAATATTTCAATTCATTACCTCGTCACCGAGAGAGTTTCTGTAATAATTTTAACAAAAGTTTGTTAATTTTTCTTGCTTTTCAAATCTCTTTCAATTTCTTTATTATTGGTTGCACCGTTAATGTAAAAAAAAAAGGTTATAAACAAATACAAAGTTAGTTTTTAATTTATTAGTATATATATGTTGGTAAGAATTATTCATGTTTATGCATTATATTTGTAAAAGCACTTATTGAAATTGCGCTTTAAATCAGTTTAACGGGTCGGACGCCGATATCGTCAAAGTGAATACGCATAAGAGCACAAATGGATCAGTATAAATCAGGATGATGGATCTTTAAATGCCCATTCCACAGGTGTTACTGTCTAACATTTGCATAGCTTATTGCTTGCGGCTTCTTCTAAACATTGCATTCTGTATTCTCTAAACGTACAGTACATGAATTTGAAGTTACACTGATGTTTTCAAACACCGGAGTAGCAATTTTGAATATACTGTTTTTGAATGACTTAATCTTGGGCAAGCGTTTTGTACAGTGCTTCCTATATCTTCTTAATATATAAAAAAACCTTGTCACCATGGTATTATTATTATTAAAAAATGGGCTATTTCAGGCAGAAACTATAACACTGCGACCTTTCCATGATCTTTTGAACTCGCCCCTTTTTTATAGTTCACTGCTAATTCCTATCAATGATAGGAATTTTAAAATGTTTTTTTGATACGATGTTTTTTAGTTCCTAAGGATATAAAATGTGTTTACCAAAGGAAATTATATCGTTTATGTAAGAGTGGGTTGCAACCACAAATTAAAGTGCTGCGACGTTTCTTTCTCATTGTGACAAAATCTGCAAATACTTTTTGGGCATAAGCCTAGTTGAGCCATATGCTTGTATTACGATGTTTCTTCATGTTCTGCTCCAACTTGAGAGATAGCATAGTTTTTACCCAGATATGAAAAATGGACTTGGTAAGTTGTAAGAGGGGATAATATAACGTTTGTTATTTCAGCTAGTATTATGTATATCTTAATAATTTACCAATAATATTATATTGTTTAGCATTTAGTTCATTGTTTTTTATTTGTATTATAATTTTCATGCATACATGTATTTTGCTAGCATATTGGGAAACTGTACAACACTTAGTTTATTGATTAATCATGACAGCAGAACTAAACAGGCGTTATCTTTAAAACACTTACGCGAACACGTCTTTATTTTTTTTTTAATCTTTAGGAAAAAAAAAGCTTCTAAAAACCAAATCATCGGACGTTTTCTAAAAGGTTAATGGTATTTTATAGACGGAACTGAGGGCAATTACATATGAATTGGCGTCATTTCCATAACTTGTCTTTTAAAAATTTTAAGAAAGTTTTAGAAAATTTAGGTTTGATTTCTGTTTTATTATTTGTGATTGCATTATCAAATAATCTAAAGGTAAAAAAATATATTTTATATATGTTTATCCTTATTGAGTCCAATATATCTTTTATTTATCGTCATTAAAATATTGATTACGAAAAACATCAAAAATTTCAACAACAAAAAAAGAAATTAAATTATTATTTGTCTGATAAATATTTATCGCAAAATACGCCAAGTTCAGTAAAATACTCGAAAAATGTTTACAAACAAAGATTATGTTTAATGTGAAATTTTTGGTGTACATAATAATATATCATTTACTCATATCCCTATATATCTAATAAGGATTCGATAATTTGAAATTTTCCATGCATATTTACCCCCTTATAACAATGTCAAATATCACAAAAACCTATTTTAACTATTGAAGTGTTTTGTACTTTTCTTTTGTAATTTCTCAGCTTAAACGACAGTGACAAAACATCTTAATAGATAAAGTAGGTTTGTAAAACGTTTTAGTTTTTATGAATAAGGGGGTCAGTTTATGTATATTGTGTAGTTTACAATTAAGATTTCTAACCAGTATCATTGCTTGTTGCAGTTTCCAGCGGCCATGTTCAATTTTATGAAGAAAACGACAGGTCTAGCCGTTGGAGATACTGGCAATTGCGAAGAGCGGGATGGAGAGAAAGAGCGGAGAAAAAGAGAGAAAAAGGAACGAAAAGAGAGGGAGAAAAGAGAACGCATTGCAGCCGGGTTGGAGGAGCCGTTAAGGCTTGAAGAGGTAAAAGTACTTTTACACTAACATCATAGTTTATAGAATTTTTTCTTACAGTTGTTCAATCGATACGTCTAAACAAAACAGTTGATTTCAACTTGTAATATAGTCGTTTTGAACAACTGATTGTTTCTTAGACTGTGTTAACGTTATGTACTAAATGAAGTTGACTGGGTAAGTTTTGTATCATCCATATAATGTATATAAACGGCTGAATAAAAACAATTATATGCTCAGGATATAATTTCTAATCTTGGAATGAATACAATCCTTTTAAATAAATATTGTTCAATACATGTTATTTTGGGCATCATTAGAAGAATATCTCAAAACAGTAATGAGTGCTAAAAGCATTTAAATTGTTACTTCTATGCCGGAGCAACATGACAATGCACTTATTGGCTTAAAATATAAAAGATTTTTATTATGCGAATAGGTTTCCGATGTAGAAAAATTTACAATCCAACGTCATGTGTTTCACACGTGAAGCCGTTAACAAAATCTGTGTCCATAAAATGTTCTTTGTAAATAAGTAAATACACTACAAAATTCTCATCCAAAACTATATTCCAGAAGATTACATTATACTTAGTGATTATTCGAATAGAACGACGATAGATATTGATGTGTTTTAAAAAAATTAACGTGAGATCAATTAGACAGTTGGAGTGATAAAGCGTATCATGACTACATATTTTTTTCAATCTAGACCGACAGCTTCACAGTTGTTGTAACTGTAAATATGAAAACGACAGTTTTTACGTCTCTAAGTTGAACGAGTTCTATGAATCAGAATGGAGTGCGGGTACAAATATCACGAAATATTAATGAAACTGGATATTCTGGTTTTGTTTTTTAATCCCATTACGCTAATATCGTTCGATCGAATGACACACAACACATAATAAACTATTATGTGTTGTGGATTCTTTTTGAATATTTTTGCATACATTAGATATTAAATTTGAAGACATGAATGGACGAAGGTGATAAAATGTCGTATTTTAGGATTTTTGCTATTATGCGCATAGATAGAGGATTATGTGCATACCAAGAACTATAAGTTATAGTAATCGAGTGTAAGTATAAATTATGTTATTATGCAACTGCACTTCTTAATACCTTCTACTATTCATAGAATAGCGAAAATCCGAAAATACAGCACATTACCTTTATCCATTTATATCTTCAATTTTGTTTTAATTGCTTTTATTTGTCCATTGCTGAACATAAGCCTCCCTCTTGGGGGTTTTGCCAGTAGTTGCCACGTTTGGCAAGCGGATTGGCAACCGTAGTTAGGCTTTGGAAATATTTTAAGAGCGAAACTGATGCCCATCCCTCGCTCTCCTTAGTCACCTCTTACAACAACCACGGGAATGGAAGGGGTGGCCTATTTTATGCCGGGACCACATGGTAATTTATGCACTCGCAAGTTATTACAGTCTTATTACCTGATATAATCCCATATTAAATAATTATTAATCATTATGTGACTTACATTATTTACATTGTTCATACTTTCTTGTATATTCAACAAGTGTACAGTATGTGACGTAACATTGTCTTGATTTTAGTGCAGTTGGTTACAAAACGTAGCGATTATTTCACAAACAGACAATTGCGTTTTATGTAGCATGTATATTATGGTCTGAATGCAAATCAAAGTGATTGGCCATAGATCGTAAGCGATAGCAAGCATTTTAAGTTAGTTAAAATTGTTTCGGCAATTTTATCAAAATTAAAAGTTAACTGGTCTCTTTTTTGGTTTAAAAATTATGATTTAGGAAAGAGTGACAAGAAGTCCTATTATTAAACAAAAAAAAAAAAAAAAATACAAACTGAAGTAATATTTTGTACACTATATCTATTGTTTACCTACCTAATAAGGAATTGACGTGAGATGCCAACTCAAGATAATTCCAGTCAGATATTAAACTTAGTTCTTATTCTTAGAAATCAGATCAAGTTAGCACGACGCCCTATTGACATTCCAGTTTCACTCCTTCCCTTCCCTTGAACCAAATTTCTCGATCTTTTTATAGCAAACTGTCATGAATTTCATTCTTTGCATGAACAAGATATTATCTCTCTATAGGTACTTTGTCACTGTGGCAATAGGTCAGGTGCTTGTGCGCTTGCACCATCGGCTGGCATTCAACGTTCGATTCATTTGTGACTCCTTGAATTTGGAAATTATGGTCTTTTGTAATTTGTGCTCTCTGTTTAATCAGATGGTTTGTCTCGTTTGCTTTTATACTAAACTAAAGTTACTAAGTTTGACTCTATTATAAACGTATACAGACGTTTAATGACTATACACATGAATATAAAATATAATATTGTTTCATAGCCCATTCTGGGAAGATCTCAAGACTCCAGAACGATAATGGATGCAAAAGACGTAAAAGAAAAAAGTAGACAGAAATAACAAACAAAAGAAATGTAAACGTAAAATTAGAGATTGTTGACTTCGTTTTCTGTTTTGATGTATCCTGTAAACCAATGGCGTTAATATTCCATTTAAGGGGATGAATAAGAACGCAAAGACAAATATATTATTTACTAATAAAGTTATTTGTTGATGTATAGATATATGGATATCTTATCGAGATGAGTATTGAATAATCTAATATCGATCGATAATACAGACGATTATATTATAATTTTGATAAGCTTTAGTTGCGATTTAACGATTGTATTTTTATTATCGTCGTATTCCTTTCATTTTTTAATATACTCGTATATCTAGATTTTATAGACAGATATAAATTTTGATAACATTATTAAAGTATATTTCGATTGAATTGATTTTGATTTAATACCAGCCAATAAATACAATATGAGTCTAATATTTCTCAACATAGGTTTCACTTTATATTAATTTTGAGCAAACGTCGGCAATTTTCTATATATGTTAACACATAATCAGATCACAGCCTGAAATATGACTGCGATAGTCAATTCTGATAAACGAAACGACGATCATTTTAATACTAAATCAATTTTCTAAACTGTACGTTTAACATATAGAACACTGAAAATGGACGATGCTAAAAACTAAATAATTTGCAAAAGTTATGGAACTATTTAAACTGACTATAAAACCACTGTAAAATATTGAACACAATGTGGACTAAATACAAATCTATGTATTTCTATCTAATGTGTTCACAAACATAGTTCGTATCCCCATGTCACGGTCAACGCACGCAGATCCGGTGACTCTCTATAACCGGAACAGGTCACACAATGGAATAGGAAATATGTAAGATTTTTTTCTGTTTCCTACTGTTTCGATGAAAACCTTTATAATAAGAAGAATATATTATAATAGAATAAATTTTAAGGTAACTAGAACGTAAACAAATCTTGCGTAATACAATAATATAATTATTGAATGAATGAATGTTCATTTTAATGAATGTTTTAATTTTCTATAGATTGCTTTTCCAATGTCTGTTTTTTTCATCATCATCATCATATCAGTCTGTAACTGTCCACTGCTGAACATGAGCCTCCCTGTTGGGAGTTTTTGCCAGTATTTGTCACGCTTGGCAGGCGGATTGGCAACCGCAGTTAGGCTTTAGTGATTTTTAAGAGGGCCGCTGCTGCCCATCCCTCGCCCTCCCTTAGTCGTCCCTTACGACACCTACTGGAAAGGAAGGGGTGGCTTATTCTATTCCGGGACCACAAGGCAGCACACGATGTTTTGTTCGTTTGTCAAAAAATATATTCTTCCAATAATGTCTATATTTTCAATCTATCTTCTACCGAATTTATCATGGGGAGTGTTCTGAGGAATTGTTCGGATTGATACCTGCTGCTGATTTTCACCACCGTACAACCCGCCACAAACTAGTTTCATCCCAATCATCTGGACGAGTGGCGGTCTTCCGCCGTGCGTTTTTCAAGGCACTTTCTTCCACGCACAACCATTCTTTGGAATCAACTTCCAGCAGCAGTATTTCCGAACCGATACGACAACATAACCTTCAAGAAAAGAGTATATTCCTTTTTAAAAGGCCAGCAGCACATCTGCAATGCCGTTGGTGATCATGGGCGGCGGTAGTCACTTACCATCAGGTGAGCCGCATGCTCGTTTGCCCCCAGTGTTGTAAAAAAAAAAGTTGCTAAACATTTAATTTTCTTCAACTTTCTATAAATATTACTTAAATTTCAGATCTAAACTTTATGAACATACTTCATATAAGTATGCTTCGTTCTAAATCTAATAGTTAATGAATATAGCAATTATTCCGATCTATTTGTTTGTACTTAATTGTTCTCATTGTTGATTATAAACAAACTATTGATTGATTGTCCTCAATCATTCGTGCTTTGTTGCTCGGTCATGTGTGGTATGTGATACGATGACACAATGGAAAAACTCTACAGTACCGAGTTGCGGAACTTCAAGTTGTTTAAGTTGATTTCGAATACTTCGGTAATATGTTTTAATGACTCATTTTTGTCTAGAACAAATCAAGATTTTTTCTTGTATATATTATATGGTATCTTCGCTATTTGCGAATGGAATTTTCATGATTGTTTATCAATCAAAAGAGTTTATTTTATATTATTTGTCCAGATTGTCGGACTGTATTGTACCCATATTCATGCAATAAATAACTATTTTAATTTTAATTTGAAAATCTTTTTCAAGATAATTATACTAAATTATAACATTTTATTCCCAAAAATAATTGAATGTATAGAATGTGAAAACAATTTGTTCCGTTGATTTTGATTAAGTTACTACTGTTCAGTAAAGAAATTCTCATAAAATACAATTTTAAATGCCCTCCTTTCACTTACGGATTTTAAACACTTTGTTTGAATTAAACAGAGCGAGAAATATATTTGTAACCTACAAATTATCACTACAATTATCACTGTCTAGAAAAGATAAAACTATTTCAGCCTTTATAGGTCTTCTGTGCTTTATCCTATTATAGAAAGTACGTATACAGTATCATTCAAAGCCCTAAACCATTAGAAATGAACACCTTTACGAGTATTTATGATTTTATTATGCGATAAAAAAAAATGTGTATATACTTGTTTATTTCAAGTAAATTACTAGTTTTTTAAATGTTATTATGAAGTATTTAAACTTAATAATAATAAATTATAAGTAATAAATTGTACGTAATAACGTAATAATAATAAATTATAATGTAATATTTCTTATTAGCATTAATTTTATTAATGATTATAGCATATTCATTTTCATAATAGTGCATCATCTCAGTTATTATAGTCACTGCTAATCATAGGCCTCCCTTATAGACTGCCATAAGGAATGGTCCACCACCACCTGCATCCATTGACTTCCTGCAATGCATTTGAAGTGGTCACTTGATCTAGTGAGGGGTCGTCCTACACTGCATTTGCCCGTAGAAGGTCGCCACTCAAGAACCTTTCATCCCCATTGTCTGCCATTTCAGCTTGCTTATAACACTGTATGAATTATTTAAATTTAAAAATATAATAGCTATCTTTTAGATTATTTCATTAAAAGTTCATAAACATCATCTCCAATCTTTATTAATAATTGCACTCGTAAAAAAGCTATTTTCGTATATAAAACAGAGAGTTTAAATCACGAACCGGTTTGATACACTTTCGGTTACGTTTACGATATGCACCGGCACACGACCATTGGTATGCGGTTTTTGCAATTGAAAAAACTTGCCATGTTTCATCACCGTTATTCTTATTTGTCTCTTGCCGCAGAACTAAGAAACCCAACGTCATATAATTTAATTTCTGTCTTTTGCTTTAAATAATAAAGTCTACCATTGTTTGAAGCACCGTTCACTATTAACAAAGAAGAAACAGGTGTCACCTGTTTGACAAATTACTCTCATAACATTTTGTTCTATTCATACGATCGGATAGCTACTCGATGACTTGCTAATTGCAGATGAAAATGTTTTTAAACGTTTCCATTTGTATTACTTCAAAACATGACCAACAGATTTTTTCCATTTAACAGTTTATATTGCCTTCTTGTTCGTTCAACCGTGTCTCTAATCAATATTACCTGTACAATTTGTTCAATAGTTTTTGTTGTTCACAGGTGCGACGCTCGCTGAAATTACGGGGTAGACGTAAAGAAAAGGAGAAACTACCCTCCGGCATTACAGCTGATTACACTGCATCATTGTTTGCTCATCTAGAACAAGACTCCAATTATTCAAATTACCCACTGATACCTACCTCTGGATCAAATTCCAACCTTAGCGATGAAAACAACCACTTGTCACCCGGATATCCTGCTACACACAACTGGAATAAGAAAGATACAATATTACAATCAGACAGTTCCGAAACATCTTTAAATTCCTTGAATAATCCAAATAACGCGAACACCAGTCCTCGACAACCACCAAGTCTACCTCCAATACCGCCGCGACCGCCTAAACGAGGTATCCTTAAAGGACCTCGTTTGAGCAATACTAGTTCTAATTCTCAAGAAAGCAATGTTCAAAATGCTGATACAGTAGATTACATAAATGGCCAAGATCCAAATTTATTGGCACGAAACACGCAGCAAAATGAACTAATTTCATATGGCATCCCACCGTCAAAAAGCACTTCATCTAGCGATGATATGCAACAATTACAGAATTTTACCAAAAAGGTTATTCATAGCCCTGTGGAAAACCAATATAAAAACTATAAAAATAATTCTAGCAATCCTTCCATCGTCACACAGGATGTTGATGAAGTGCCTAAAACAAATGGAAACAGCTACCTTGGGGTTACATCTACGTCTCCTAGTGCCGATTCCTTAACCGACACTACTACAAATTCTTCATTTGCTACTCCACCATTTTCTACCTCACCTGTTGGCGAATCACAGGGATTCCATAGATGGTCTAGGACAAGTAATTTTGAAGATGTTTATTTGCCTCTCCCGCCACTGACTTCATTGAAACTACCAAAACCCAGAATTCTTACAATTCAAAGGCAGAAAGCTCCAAGAAATGATTTTGGATTTAGTCTTAGACGAGCAATGGTGCAAGAGAGAATATTTATTGGAGAGACGAAAGAACTTAATGGTCACGAAGAGAATGGTCTGACCAATGGTGAGAATAAATACAATGGTAACATTACTAATGGATTTATAAGTAAATTGACACACAAAGCTGTGATACTGGCGGAACCAGGTTCATATCCTGGAGCCAGTGAGACTGGACTGCTTCCCGGTGATAGATTATTGGAAGTAAATGATGTCAACGTAGAAGGAAAGAGCAGAGAAGAGGTTATCGACCTTATCAAGAGTAGTCAAGATTCAGTAACCATCAAGGTCAGTATATTACAATGTTAATTAAATGGTAATTAATTTTAATGAATGTTTTTTTTTAGACATGCCTTAAAAAGAAAGTATAATACAAAATATTTTTAATCTGTTTAAAGAAACAGTAGCTCTGTTGCGAGTATTCGACTTTGATTCTAAGACCTGTCAGTTAAGTGTCTAAAATTAATTATGATTATGAGCGAAAATTGTTTCCCTCGAATGAAAATTTCGCGTTTTTTGAAGAAACAGCGTCACGTAAGTGTTTTGTACATAACTCCATTTAATATAACTACTAACACAATTACTGTTGTTCTCATTCGTAAATAAATGTACTTATAAACGTAATACGAAAGCAAAAGGATAAATAACGTTATTTACTTGACATTGCTTTTCGGCTACTGTGCTCAAGTGTGTTCAAGGTCTGTTTGTTTAAAAGTCTTTATTGTAAATTATACAGAGAGATAATTGATACATAATAGAAGTACACTAGTAAGGTTATATATTATTGAAAATAAATTTCATAAATATAAATTAATTAAATGTTAAATTTAATAGTATCCATTTAATGATTATTGACTATTTATATTTTATTTTTCTTTATCATTTTGACAAAATGTTTTTTTTTAAATATTCCTTGTCTTGTAAGACCAGTTTGATAGTCAAATTGTTATTCGTGAATCACTATATAATGTTAGTTGATTTTTTTTAAATTATTTTATTTATACTTTATTGTACACACTTATGATACATAAAAATATAATAGATTTAAGCAAATGTACAAAGACTCTACTATACAAGAATTCTTTTCCAGCAAACCCAATATATGTTATAATTATGTTTATTTCTACTTTTCCAAAAGACTTATACCGTTTTCATCTGACATCTTTGAGAAGTTGTGAGTCCACAGTTTATATAATAAGCACAATTTGTTGAACCGTTACTAACAGTATACCGGCATTACTCTGATCCCATCGCGTGACCACCAACGTTTTCTGTGAAATTATTTAAATGAAACTAACATTAATTTTATTTAAACGTTTAAGCACATTGTTCAACTGTCAGACATAACACTAACATCTCGTTAATGATCATTTATCATGATATTGCATTTGATGGTTCCTACATTGAAACTTCTGTCGCTTCATTATAAGATTTGTTTTTAATCATACGAATGAATTAGTTAGGTGTGTAACTATTATTTTAATATGTTTTCTTATGAAACTTCGAATGGCAAACAAGCGGCCAATTTTAAGCAAGTACACATAAAAAGTACACAAAAACATGTAAGTCTTGAGGACTATGGAGTTATGCCTCCGTATCCTTAACTACTATATTCCACCCTTTAAAATGAAACACAGCTATGAAAGAAAGCGAAACTGCTTCATGGTAGAAATATGTGTGTATGTGATGTACCCAAACAAATGGTGTTTATAGTCTCTTTCTGATATAGGTGTATTGATAAACACCACAAAATGCCTTTTTCTATAAATCCTTTTTTTTTGTCTTCCTGATCTTTTCCCATATATATTTGAGGTCAGCGTAATGTTTTCTTCTTCCATTCGTCTTTATTTGCTGTCATTTCACTACTCACTTCCTTCCTGGCCATGTCATCTTTCGTACAGTCCATCCATCTCTTTCTGGGTCGTTCTTCTGACTTATACCTAATTGTCCACATTCATATGTGGTTCTTCCCTGTGCATGACATGCCCATACCACGACAAACGACTACTTCTCAACTTTTTCCATTACTGGCTCTACTTTCGAACTTCCTCTTATATGGTATACCTCATTCTTGATCTTATCTATTCTTGATACACCACACATCCATCTCAACATTCGCGTCTCAGTTGTATAAAGTCCTCTTTCATCTGTCAGTTTACGGTACATTTAATCTTTTTTTCTATAAATCCATATGGAATATTTATAGATTGGAAAAATATTGACATGTGGATTTATGACTTTCCCCTACACTGTTTACAAGACCAGTGCGAAACCACTTTCGTTATGGTATCCTGTCCACTTAAAACTTTTACTGGGTGCATTTTTCCGTTAACCTCACTCCGTGCACCTCGAATGACCGTCATTTGTGTAATTATTGTATGTCATTAACAAACGCCGATATCTTAACCATTGGTGAAAGCATGTTTTTTTATGCAACTTAGAATGGCAAACAAGGTGACAGCCCACTTGTTGAAAAGTGGTAACCTTCGCCTATAAACATGAGCAGTACCGTGGACATAACAGAGTATACTGTTTTTTTATAAATTTCTATTAATTCCTAGGACTAGGATTTGTCAAAAAAAAATACTCCAGAAAACATAAATATAAAGATACTGAGACAATTTAAGATCACACTGTACAAATGGCTTTTGGACAAGAGTTATTATTCATTAAAGAACTTGATAGACTAGAAAAAAAATCCTTTTTATAAACACATTCATAACATGATATCTTTTTTCGTTAGTATTTGAAACAATTACTATAAATACTAAAATTTAGCATGCCATTGTTTTGACAAAACACGTATGTTCTTAATATATTATTACATTGATCAATTAATTGATATCAAGTATTTGAATTAATCTCTACTTTTTAAATATTTAAATATCTTCTAATAATAAATTGTACTTTATAAAAAAATGCCGACTTAAGTCGTAGTAAAACTAGTTATTTTATTTTAAAAACTAAACTACTAAACTGATTTTGATGAAGTTTTTATAGGTTTAATCTAAGAGTACACTTTCAGATAAAAAAGAATCTTTCAAATAGGTTTATAAATGATGGAGCACTGAGGAAACAAACATAAAAAATATAACCGAATTGAGAACCTTTTTTGTAGTCGTTGAAAAGCAGAGATTATTAATTCACATTTTTTTTTTATGTTACATGATATCTTTGCGAATTTTGAGCCGATATAATTATTTCTTTGCCACCGAAAGGGTGTACTCCTATGTCGGTTTTCTGTCCTATTTTTCTGTCTCTAATTATTTTATTATATTAAATGCCTATATAATAACAGGTGCAACCAATAGCGGAGTTGTGCGAGTTATCGCGCAGGCGTGCTGCCGACGGTGGTGGCGACGTGGAACTCTCCGACAGCAACGTTCGAGGAGGCACTCTAAGCCGTTCTGGCAGTCGGCGGTTCACATCCACTCAGGTATTTATATTTTCTTTTATTTTTATTCGAATGCTTTTGAACAGTCTCTGAGGGAAGGGACTGTTAACAATGAAGATGTTAATTTTTTTTATTATTATTCAGAACTTCGAACGCATTTAAGTAGTCTCACAGAGGAAAGGGATTGCTAGTAATTAAAATATTAAGAATTTTTATTTTAAATTTCGAATCCGTTTGTAACATATATAAAAGACAGGTATTCTTAGAAATAGGGATGCTAATTCTTATTGCTAAAAATAAGGTATATTAGATGAGGCTGACCTCCAGATAGAGTTGTCCTTCTAGAAACTACCGTGACCTGACTTCATACACATCGTTTCATACATTGAGATTCTGCTATTATATACGATTAGCGAAGGTGGATGCATCGCTCCATCTTCATCTATAAAAATCTACGAATACCTTTCAATAAATACTGGAATAAAGCATTTCTATCACCTTGTTTGTTATTCTAAACTTTATAAACAAAAAAAAAAAAAGAAACTAATATATAGCTTTTTATGAAACTAGAAAAAAATAATGATAAACATGTCTATTGCATGATTACCTACCACTGTTACTAGTTCTCTTACTCTTTTGCATTTCCAATAATTTCACGCTAAAGTAAATATTCAATATTGCTCTCTTGGGATGCAAAAAACGGAATATTTATGTTTATTGCGTTTGTGATATATTCAAGTGTAAGTGTTTATTACTCAGACGAATATTTACTTTTTCTGTTATATAGCAATCAGCCGTGAAGTTTTTATTAAGACGGTCTCTGTTTTATCCTAATTTAAATACAATAATGAATCTTATGTCGTTGTTATAGCGATACATTGAAATTTAACTTACTTTATTAAATCAATTTAAATATTTATTTAAAAAATGTAATGACTAAACATGTTGCATATTGCAGGCCAAATTTTGAGCCCTGTTCCCATGGTCCGCAGTGATTTTACTTCGATGTAGTTACTATTATGGGATTTATATTGAATATTAGCTTTTTACCTTCTACTTTGTGCGTGAGTTTCCGAAATAGTAAAACTAATGGTGACCAGTGGAAATAGACCTTTATTATAATCCAACCATAGACTAATGCAAACATAGAATAATCCAAACATAGCTAATGTTCTGTAATACAAATACAAAAAATCCGGTCAAGCGCGAATTGAACTCACATGGCCAGGGTTTCGTACATGATATATATAATATGACATAAAATTACCTTTATTGTATTTATCCTACGAAATAGATAATATTGATACCATTAATACTACAACTCGTGATTTCTTATTTTGGGTTATAGTTTTGTGTTTTAAAACTTGACCGCATAACTAAGTTTATTTTTGGAGGCTTTTTAATAATTTCTAAAAACTAATTATTTATTTATATTCAGATTTTTGCTTAAGAAACTTAGAGGGGGATGTTTTTATTCAGATAATTAGATTCCTTACAATCAACAATAATAATAATTATAGTTAAAATAAACAACAATAAAAAGAAAAAAAAAGTACATTTTGCTGGCAATATTTTTCAGCCCATTCATATAATACCCCGCTTGGACTATACTACTCTACTTGCACTATACCCCACCTGGGCAAATTTTGAGTATCCGTTTCGGACCCGCTAGCAAAGAAAATAAATATACTATTTCAATTATTTCCATTGCAGTATATGTGGGCTGATATGTAAAACTATTCCAAATTTCAAATCGATAGCATTTATTTATTTATTCATTAGTACAAATATGTGTACATGGCGGACTTAATGCTAAAAGTATTCTCTCCCAGTCAACCATAGGGCAGTGTCAGAATACTCGAATGCGGTACTACTATGTATTGATATACATACATACTAAAATTACATTAATAATTGCTTAGATATAACACTGTGACAAACGGACAGACGTGCCGACGAACAACGGCGCACTATAAGTTCTCTTATACCTTTTTGGTACAGTAGGGTTCTGTATAGAATGATTGAATGTTTCGTTTTGTTATAAATTTTCTTTAGAGAGTATCTCTGTAACATTTTTTTTACAACACTAATGAACATGCGGCTGCACCTGATGGTAAGTAACTACCGCCGTCCATGATCACCCACAACACCAACGGCTTTGCAGGTGTGCTGCCGGCCTTTTAAAAAGAGATATGCTCTTTTCTTGAAGGTTATGATGTCGTATCGGTTAGGAAGTACTGCTGCTGAAAGTTGATACCAAAAATTTCAAATTTTAACAAAACTATTTATTAACTTCTCATTAAGTTATATTGGTACAGACTACAGAAACCGCAGCGTGACATTATCGTATCGATGTAACGCAGTGGTCTTGTCAGGATAATCAGACCACACGTCTGTTTGGCACCGAATTGAGATCGTATCTAATACAAGCTTTTGCCCGCAACTTCGTATGCAATTTTTTTTTATACAACTTAGAATGGCAAACAAGCTGACGGCCCACCTGATGGAAAGTGGTAACCGTCGCCTATAGACATGAGCAGTACCATGGACATAACAGAGTATACTGTTTTGCCCATGATACCCCCCATGCGTTGCCATTCCTGAGGACTCAGGTGTTATTCCTCTGTATCCAGTAAATTGACGCCATATCCCACCCTTCAAACCGAAACACAGCCATGCAAACACAACTGCTTCACGGTTGAAACACGAATGGGACAGAGGTACCCAAGCAATCGACTTTATACAAAGTCTCCCTCTGGTAAAATTTTTGGCAATATTTTTATCTTAAAAATATACAGATTGATCCTATAGATATTTTATCAAAATCAGTAGTTTCCCTTTAAATCAAAATAAATGGTTTTGTCACAATAATTTTTTTTTTTGTGAAGCATAATCTTAAATTATAACTCAATATATAGTATTCAGTATATTTACCATTTCGAGCTGCATTAGCTGGAATGGTATTTTTTTTTATTTAATTAAAGTTAACAAACAGTAATACAATATATAATTATAATAAGATTACATTTAAATTAATAAATAATAGTACTACCAACAACGTTAACTACAGATTGCTATATAAAGAAAGAAAGTATATAAACATGCAAATATTGCCGAGAAGTGGAGCTGACCATTATACCTATTCATTAAGTTAAATTATAAATAACATTGACACAACCACATCACTGGTACCAATTATACGAAACAAACAAAAAAAAAAGATATTTAAATATATACATCTATTTTATAATTTACTAATTATGTGCAGCATTACTAAATTCGTGAGGGAGGGAGGAGGTTACTAATTGTTTAGCTACCATTTTTTTTTTTATTTAATTGTATATCACAAGGAACAAGGCAAACCGATTTTTGCTTTAACATCGCATCGCTTTGGCGTGTGTGGATGCTTTATGTGAGGGCGTGTCTCGTGTGTACGTTATTAAATACGACAGAAAGTGTAAATTGAGATGTATTGACCCCCCTGTATCAAGACAGCTCCGTCTACGACCCTCTAATGCCGTAACAGCAAACTGATCAGTGACTCACGCTTGGGGGACCATTGATTGAATACCCGCCACATGGTTTGATGTTGTTTAAGGTTATTGACGCACTTTATGTTTTTATATATCACTGGTTTTTATCCACAGCTTAGTAACCGTGAATTTTTTTAAAAGAATGATAATCGAATGGTAACCCTGTTGCGGTATCGTTTTTTTTTTTTTTGATGGGTGAAAATGGTGTGGTAACCCTGCCTACGCTAACGGAATACGCTGGCGGAGCACCAGTGAAGGGTGATAGATGAGAATGAAAACAGATCAGTTAGCCCATCATGATGAATTTATCAGGAATTAACCATGATAGTTTCCAGGGAGAACCACGAGGAGGTGGACCTGGTTGGGTATATTGCTAGCAATGGGATTCTCAGTCTCCATTACTAACAATCCCTTTCCGCCCTGGGCGCTGGCGCTAACGGTATTACATTAACTAGGCACTAGTAAGGGATAATAGATAAGAATGAAAAAGGTTGGTGGGTATATTGCTAGCAATGGGATTCTCTGTCTCCATTACTAACAATCCCTTTCCGCCCTGGGCACTGGCGCTAACGGTATTACATTGACGAGGCACTAGTAAGGGATTATTATCCCTTACTAATAAGATAAGAATAAAAAGACAGGTCAGTTAGCCCATCGTGATGAATTCACTTGGCATTGAATACGATGGTTTCTAATAGAGGAACCACGAGCAGGTCGACCTGACACCTATATTGTATTGTTAGTAATGGGGGGCTACTAACCCCTAATATTAACAGTCCCTTCTCCCCCTTTGTATGCGTGGTTTACATATAGAAGCCAATACGTAGTTTACGTAGAACTTACTTCTAGTTGGCGTATCAAGATAAAACATATAGCTATCAGAGACTTTCAGGAACTGTGAAGATTGCATTCAAATTGATACAGTATTTTTTGCTGCTGCCGGAACAATCGTACAAACAAACACACAATAATTATATAAATTATTGTATTATACTTCTAATGCTTTTATTAAGACTACAGGCAAAATCCCCTTTTGGAGGAGGCCTATGTTCAGCAACGGACAGTTAACGGCTGATGGGATTAGAGAAATTTAGAAAAATGCGAAAGGTTTTGATTGATTAAATCTAATAATTCGCAATTTACAGTCACATTAGTATTGGCAACACTAATATAGGATCAACACGGGAAAAAATCCTATCGATTGCAAAAACTAATTATCATGAGATTTTGTTCCATACAAAAATCTATTTCAGTTGTGGCAAAACTAGTTATTTTGATTTAAACATTAAACTATTTATTTATTTACACTTTATTGCACCATTTATAAAATAGTAAATACATTTAACTGTAATAAGAAATTATACAAAAGGCGGCCTTATCTCTAAGCAATCTCTTCCAAACAATCTTTGGGTAGAGGACGTTGAGAAAAGAAAATTACTGAGTCGATTTTCATAAAATTTTTATGTGATCAATCTATAAATATGTCCTTTCAGGTAATAGAATTTTTCA